AAGTTTCCTGTTGCTCAGCTTGGAATGAGCAAGTTGCATAGCAATACAGCAGCACAATACACTGTCTCCCAAACTGCCTGTCATGGAGCTTGTGTATGAGGAATGTTAGCTTCTATGTGAGATGCCAAATTTACTTAAATTTACCAGACACTTTTTTCAACAAACACTCCCCTGGATGCTTGACCAGATTCTAGATTCCCAAAATACTTTCATCAGAGAGATTATGCAGGGTCGAGGATGGGTGATGGGCTAACACAAAGGCTGGCCATTGTTTCAATCCCTGCAGGCTAAAGCAACTTCCCCAGTGACAATAAATAAGAGGATTTCAAAAGACAAAATTTTTATTAAAAAAGACAACCTGAGAGTTTTTCTTTCTTTATTTCTAACAACTTAAGGAACTCTGTCTGGTCTGAGTATACGCAGACATAAAAGAAAAGAGATTCAAGTGATCAACTCTTTGCTAAATTAATTTGGAAAGTCACTAAATAAAGGTATGACTGCAGACTATATCAAGTAATTGTTAGAGAAGAGAGAAAATCATATTTCCAGAGTAGATACATTACAATATATTAAATCCAGCTCTCAACAAAAAGTTACACACCATAAAAATAAAAAAGGAATATGTCCCATTAACAGCTAAATAAAAAGAATTTGACAGAAACCATTCCTGAGGAAGCTCAGCATCAGACTTACTAAGCAAAACGTCTAAGTCAGATGTTGTAAATATGCTAAGAGAGTTGAAAGAAACCATATAAAAAGAACTAAAGGAAATCAGGAGAACAATGTATGAAAAAGTGGGGGTTATCACTGATAAGAAAGAAATTATCAGTTAGAAAAAAATGAGGAGCAAAAAGACAATAGTTTAAAAAGCAATTCACGAAAGTGACTTGACAGCAGGCTTGAGTAGGCAGAAGAAATAAATAGCAAACATAAAGGCAGGACCAGATAAAATACCCAGATGGAGTAGCAGGGGGGGAAAAAAAACAAAGAAAAATGAGCAAAGCGTTAGGAGCTTATGAAATTCCATCACTTCTACCAATATACACATATGGGAGCACCCAAAAAAGAAATGAAAAAAGGGGCAGAAAAAACGCTGAACAAATTAAGGCTGAACACTTTCCAAATATGATGAAAGACATGAATCTACACAACTAGGAAGCTCAATAAATTCCCAAAATGGTAAAACCAAAGAGTCTCATAACAAGGTGTGATTTGAATATAATGTCAAAATCAAGGACAAAGAGAAAATGTTGAAAGGTGCAAGAAAGAAGTGATTCATAACATACAAAGGATCCTCAATAAGAGAATTGATTTTTCTTCAGAAACTAAGGAGTCAAATAATCATTGGAATGATACATTTAAAGTGCTGAGGGAAAAAACTGTCAACTAAGAATTCTATATCTGGCAAACCTATCCTTACATAATAAAGAAGAAATTAAGACATTCCAATATAAAACTAAAGGTAAAAAGATTCCCCCCAAGTAGGTCTGCCCTACAAGAAATGCTAAAGGGACTCAGCGTTCATGCTGAAAAAAAATGACACTACAAAATAAATAAAAACCATAGTAAGGAGAGGAGCAAGATGGCGATGGGTCTGGAACGGGCATGCCAGAGGACAGAGCAAGCCTGAGAAGTGTGCGCTGTGCTGCCAGAATACTATTTGCATTTCCAAGAGCAACAAAAATCAAATAAATCACTGATCAACTAATCTACAATGAAAAAAAGCAACTACAGTCTCGAGGTTTTAGGGCCAATGCAAAAGAAGATTCCTGAGAGCGCCCCAACTGCGCCGGGAGACCGAGCAGCCCAAGGCAACGAAGGCCAGGAAAGACAGCAGCAGTGATGCAGAGATGGAGAGGAAGGTGCGGGACCGGCCCAGCAGTGGGAGCTTTGTGAGTGACCCCCAGCCCAGCCCCGCTTGGGGGGCAAAGGCCCGCCCGGCCCCCGCTTACCACACCAGGCTAGGCGACTTCATCAGCGCTGCCTCCATTTTCTCCAGTGGGGGGCGGAGCCGGCCGGCTCAGATCAGGCAAGCCAGCCATCTTCACTTGGCGCGGCTCCTCACTGAGCCGTGCCACTTGTGTGCCTCAGCGCGGGGCCCCCCGGGGCCTGTGGACTGGCCACAAATCCCACTCCACCCGCAGATCTCTGGTGGGGCTGGTGGCGTGGGGAGCCACCGGCCAGCGTCGGGAGGGCAGGGAACAGGATCCCGGCCAGACTGTCACTCCACCAAACCCGGGGCTTCAGCCCCAGGTAAACTCCCTGCTTCCGGGAGGCAGATACCATCTCTGTGGCCTTCAGTTCGGAAAAACCCCAGACTGAGTTCTTGTTGGGAGAGGGGTGACCGGGGTGCCCCCGAGCCTGCTTGATCCTGCTGGAGAGCTGGCCTGAGGGCGCCGAGCTGGCTCACACCGGGGGGATTCAAAGAGGAACTGTGTGCTGTAGGATCCTCCCCTGGGGGGCTCGCACCCTGGTGTGGGAGATAACTCAACCACACAGGGGGCTGCAATATGGGGGGGAAGCTGGGAGGCCCAGAGAGGGCCTTGACCAGGGCCACAGGAACCCCCACAGTGTCCGTGGCAGAGGCCTGAGACCCCTTCAGGGCCGGGCGGGGCTGAGAGACGAGGATTGCAGAGGGCACACTCCAG